TATGCCTGAAAAAAGGTGCACATTTGGCTAGCCATTAGCCTAGCCTGGATGAAGACTTTTGCCTTTTTCGCCATATTTTGTGCTTTTGGAACTTGTTTGTGACCAGGGGCCTCATGTACAAAGACGCATGGATTTCTTACTGAAACCTGACGTACGGTCAAATCTAGAAAACGGCGTACGCACAAAAAAATCCAGATGCATCAAACTGTGCGTACGCCTAAATCCACGCACATTTCTTTTGTACATCACAATTAACGTGGAACTGAGCGCCCGTGAGGCACCTCCCCTGACACGCCTTCATTAACATATGTTAAACAGATGCAAATGACTTCCTGCATGTGTGAAGGACACGTTTGAGTGATCCCTGCGTGATCAGAAAGGATTTCTAATGTCATAAAAATAATGAATTTAATATAAAGTGAGTGAGAAAAAAATCCTAAGTAAAAATAGGAATAAAATGTGTTTATCACGCAAAGAACGAGTGATTGTGTGTCGGTGTGTGTGTGCACGCTGCTGTGTTGCGCAACCGGCTCATCCATCCATTCTGAGTCTGAAAATATTGACTTTGTGCACGAGTTTATTACCATAATTAGTGTAAACACAGAGGAACTTAAATGTTTGGTAGAACATAGATCTTAGTTTATTTCATAGCTGATAAGAAGAAACGAGTCTCTGCGTCTCAGTAGAGAGTTTTCGTGACATGATGTTGGAGAGTCCACACAAACGCTGCGCGCGCCTTTGTGCGCAGTCTGTCTGTCTGTCAAGCTTTTGCTCTCCTACTTACAGCATTTTCACAAGTTGTAATGTGTACTTCCACGTGTCATTTTGGAGAAATCTACAACAACGTAAACGCCGAGTATGAAACACGTCCACTGCCGGCGAGGGTGCACGCGCTCCAGAGCGCGACCATAACTCAGCCTTTAGAATCATATGGATGAGACGATTCCATTGGTCATGACTCTGCTTTGGGTGGACTGGACTGRCACAGTCCCGATCGGTCTGCCAGCTCCCTCTGGAAAGCTCCTGTGGAACCCCAGTTCAATCGCTGCTGCTGCACGTGCACGTGTGGCGCACGCGGCTACTCGCTGCCTCACACTCCCAGAGCGCAGCAGTACCAAATTAAAAAGGATTTTTCCTCAAAACGGTTGATGAGCCACTCGTCATCAGAAAATTTTATCTGTTTATAAATAAAAGCTCTGCATGTTACACTTTTTATTATATCCTCCAGTAAGGCTGAATCCATTCCTGTTAAATGTATTTTTGGCACAACTTTGCATGTCTTTTATTTAACTGCGTCCATGTGGATGTAATAATTGTTAATCATGTGTCTCTGGTGTGAACAAAAATCATTTTTACATCATGAACAGTTTCTCATTACCGGGACAAGCTAATAGTTTAAAGTTATATCCCGACACTTCAAAGCAATTTTCATTTTCTGAAATTTCACAGAGTGATGTTTTGAATATACTCCAATCTCTAAACGGCTCACATGCATTTGACAAATATAAGATAAATATGGATTTCTTGAAAATGCATGCCAACACTTTTTTACATTGTTTCATAATTTGCTTAATTTATGTATTGTGCAGTCTATTTTCCCTGATGCCTGGAAGTTTGCTCAGATTACTCCCATTTTTAAATCTGGT